TGATTGGTTTCTCGTGTGATATGTTCTTGCTGAGCCTAGTTTGTAACTGAATTTTGCACGATTGATAAATGAAAAAGGTACCTAACTGTTTTCAGTCAGCCAAGAGTATAATTTTTCATCTTTATAAGTATTGTGATGAATTAACCAAAACCACACATGTAACTGAAAAGGAGTTGTAATCTACCAAATAAAGGCCTAATACACACGTATTGCTACCAAGTTTAAATATCGATGCTTATCTGAACCATTGTGAAGAGAATTTAGAGGAATGTCAAGCTTACAGTAAGTCATGAAATGTTAGGTCTAATAATCTGGGCAGGGAATTACTGACTAGGAAAACATAATACTAATCACATTTCGAATTAAGTTGTAACATTAAACTACTAGACTCCTATTCGTATTCTAATAGAAGCGAAATCACTTTGTTTCTGAGTTTTAATGTATTACTTCCTCAAAGTTTGGAATCGATCATAATACAAATTTAGCATCAAGGTTTTCATGTTAACAACAAACCGTAGTTTCAGGTTAGTCGTTAGACGTTTGTGAATCGGTTTAGCTATGTAAACATGAAAGAATAATTCCATTTGAAGAGACCGACAGACAACAGCAGTGTTTGATTTTCAAATGGCAATAAAAAGTCCTATTTTCACTCGATTGCTAAAAATTGTACCTAAGCATGTACTAAAAAGACAAGTTAAGTAATATTCTTACTCAGTATGTGGTATGAACAGAAATTCAGGATAAAAAACGTTGCGGTAAATGACTTACGTGAAACGTGACCGCACCGCTTAGTCCCGTAAATTCTAGCGGTATATAATTTGAGTACATACATACCTACATACATATACATACATACATTTATTCGATAGCCAGGTTTTGAAAAATTGCAACTGTAGAGCTAATGTGGACTTACTACTACTTAAATCTAAATAAGGTAAAAGAGAAGTTTACAATACACTTGTCATAAAGCAAAAAATAGTATACAATAACAGTTAAATAATAATAATAATAATAATAATAATAATAATAATAATACAAGACTTTTATAGCGCCCGCGCTGGAGTTCAGAGCGCTGTACAGCTATATGAATGAAAAATAAGATAAAGATGACTAAAACAACTTACTAAAGGTATTGAGCAAAAACCTAATGGCTAATTAAAGACTTATCAAATAAATGAGTCTTCAGGTTGGATTTAAATGTCACAAGCGATGGTACTTGCCGTATGGCATTGGGATGCTGATTCCACAGATATGGAGCTATATAACTAAAGGATCTGCCTCCATATGTCTTAAGCTTGAAACGAGGAACTTGTAACAGTTTCTTATCGGACGAACGCAAAGCTCTAGGTGGTTTATGTTATACTAAAAATCAGATATATATTGAGGTGCTAAAGCTTTCAGGGTCTTTTAAATGAATAGTAATATTTTAAAGATTATACGTTGCTTTACAGGTAGCCAGTGAAGCTCTTTAAGGACTGACGTAATTCGGTCATATTTTTGAGTGCAGGAGACGGGACGGGCCGCAGTATTTTGTACCCGCTGAACCTTATCTAATAAGTACTGTGGCAATTCATCCAACGATGAATTGCAATTGTGCAGCTTAGATGTCATAAAAGCATGAACTAATGTTTCAGTATCTTTCTGAGTAAGAAATTTCCAGATTTTTGATAAATTACGTACTATGTGAAAGAAAGCTTCTTTACAGATATTTTTAATTTGATGCTCATGATTCATAACATCGTTAAACATTACTCCTATGTTTCTAGCTGACTCAGTTTCAACTACCCTGACACCAACTATTTTGATGTCACATATTGGAGGTCGTGGGCGGTGTTTGGCATGTATGACTAAAAACTCAGTCTTATCACGATTGAACCTAAGCCCATTGCATGCCACCCATGCATAGATCTCTTTAGCATAAACCTCCATTTTCAACAGAGCAGCAGATTCATTATTAGGCATAAATGGCAAATAAATTTGGCAATCAACGGCATACAGGTGTAACTTAAGGCCATGTTTTCGAATTATGTCACCAAGGGGGGCCGTGTATAAGGTGTAAAGGATTGGACCCAGTACTGATGATCCTTGCGGCACTCCCCATTGCAACTCAACAGAGGATTAACTAGCATTTTCAATTTGGATAAACTGTCTGCGCCCCATTAAATAGGACGTAAACCAATGGAGAGCATTTCCCTTGATGCCATATAGAGAGTTTAGTCGACTTAATAAGATGGCATGGTCCACTGGGTCAAATGCAGCCGTTAAGTCAANAAAACCCGCCTTTTTGTGAGGCTGGTTTTCCAGCTGATTTACGCACTTCATCAGTGCTAAGGTCCTCCTTAGAGGATTTTTCCTTACCCCTGACCTCTTTAGGAGGGGTTAAAGATGGATTGTCAGCCATTTACAGCAGAAGATGCGGCGTTTTTCCTCTCAGTTCTAAAAGCGCAGTTGGACTGTCGAAGGCGTAAGCTTGCACTGAGTTGGCGCATGCGCTTGCTATCTCATGTGATCTTACAGCACGATAACGAGGTAGAATATTAATTTCTTGTTATGTTGTCGCGTTAAGTCTGAATAGTGACCCGTCGGCGTTGAAATAGAGTACTTCGTGTCTTTTTCGCAGAGGTAAAATAAAGGTCAACTTCAATGGCCTGTAAGTGGGCATGCCATATACATTTACTAATCATAATAGACATCATGTCAACGCTTTAACCTTCTATTTTCATTCCTCGAATTCTCTGTATTTGCCCGCCATTAGCGGCGCGTCCATGTTTAAAAGAGTTTGGGTTTTTTGTCTTAAATGTAAGGCGAATCGCTGAACAGCAGTCACGATCCATTGAAAAGCCTTTAAAAAAGTCCGTTATGACATATTTATAAATTAAAATATACATCATCTTTAAGCTTTATCCTTGAAGTTTAATTCCTCAAAGTATCTTTCTTGGTCCGCCATAGGCGGTGCGTCCAGCTTGAAAAGAGTTCGGGCTAAAATGACAAAAATTGTATTGCGATCCGTTGAACGGCTGTCACGGAAGAGGTCAAGGCCAATCTTTTAGCTTAGCCAGAAATGTAGCCAGGAATGAATCAAATACGAGACCTCTAGCTTGACAACACTATTCAGACTTAAACATAACAACGTAACAAGAAATTAATATTTTCTAAGAGATAAAAGGACCGTCTGCTAGCACACAAAATTAAAAAGCGGGATTGCATCGCGTTGTAACCGTACGAAGTTGCCAAAGTTGCGTAAGTTTTCATTAGGGAGCCTTAGCAACGACGACGGCGACGGCGACGGCAACGAGAACGGCAGAAAATGATAGGCTTAATGAGCAAAAACAATCGACCTGCACGTGCGTTTAACGTTTTGGTACATTTCTTCGCCGTTCTCGGCAAAACAACAACGTGAAATAACCAAACTTTAGATTGACTCGAGAACGTGAGCGCAGGACGGTTAATTTTTCTTTCTTTCTCCTTACTTTAACGCCGTTCGTAGTGATATAGTCCCTGAATAGTTCGCCAGCATTTTCCAAGTGAAACACATCGGAATAACCTCGAAAGAGTTCTAAACACGAAAAGTTAGATTTTGACACGACGTTTTCGTTGCCGTCGCCGTCGTCGTTGCTAAAGCTCCCCATTGCTTTACGAGGGGAGGGGGGTAGAGAATGACCATCTGGGCGTAGTTTCAACTTTTTGATTTTTCGGAGAAAAATAAAGCGCGATAGAACTTCTTGATATAATTTTCGAAAATGGTTCACTAAAAGGGTCCTTTGGAAAAAAGATAATCAATTACGAAATTTTGCAACTGCCGGCGGATTCTCGATATTCGTGGTCAGTGGTTCTTAAGAGGGTCTCCATGGAGTAATGACTTTTACGGCTAACCGCTAACTTTTTGGCCGTTTGACGGCTACCTTTTAATATAATTCTATTGTTATCACCAGAAACACGGTTAACCTTTTTTTATGACTATCGGTTAAAATTTTCAGCCAGTTTACGGCCAGCGGTTAGCCTCATTGAAACCCTGTCTTAAGAGCTTCGGTAAGGCAGATCATATACTAGGTTTGCGTGCTCAAATTGTTCAGACAACGAAACCAAGATTTCTTTTAAATCTTCTGAATTATTCGCATCAGATGTGTAGTAGTTAACTCTTCGCATTTTTTTCTCAATAACAGCGAAGAGAGCTATGATGGAAAACACAGNGTAACTACGGAAACTTAGGAACATTGTTCCGATCGCTTGGTCAATACGACAAGGCCCGAGAGTATCTGGAGAAAGCACTCGCTATCGAAAAAGCTGTTGGCGACAGAGATGGAGAAGCAACAGTCTACGGAGACTTAGGAACATTGTTCCGATCGCTTTGTCAATACGACAAGGCTCGAGAGTATCTGGAGAAAGCTCTTGCTATCAAAAAAGCTGTTGGCGACAGAGATGGAGAAGCAACAGGCTACGGAAACTTAGGAACATTGTTTCAATCGATTGGTCAATACGACAAGGCTCGAGAGTATCTGGAGAAAGCTCTTGCTATCGAAAAAGCTGTTGGCGACAGAGATGGAGAAGCAACAAACTACGGAAACTTAGGAACATTGTTTGGATCGATTGGTCAATACGACAAGGCTCGAGAGTATATGGAGAAAGCACTCGCTATCAAAAAAGCTGTTGGCGACAGAGATGGAGAAGCAACAGCCTACGGTAACTTAGGAACATTGTTCGACTCGATTGGTCAATACGAAAAGGCCCGACAGTATCTGGAGAAAGCACTCGCTATCAAAAAAGCTGTTGGCGGCAGAGCTGGAGAAGCAATCAACTACAGAAACTTAGGAACATTGTTCCTATCGCTTGGTCAATATGACAAGGCCCAAGAGTATCTGGAGAAAGCACTCGCTATCCATAAAGCTGTTGGTGACCGACAGGGAGAAGCAGAAGGGTTCGGAAAGTTATCGCAACTTTATCTGTGTCTCGGTAAATATGGGGAGGCTGACAAATGTCTTGAAAGAGCAATCGCAATTAGAATGAAAGTTGATGACCGAAAAGGAGAAGGGAGTGATTTAATAAATCTTGGAATAATCGCTGATCGGCGTGGTTTGTATGAGAAGTCTAAGGAATATTACGAAAGAGCACTTGCAATTTCGTTAGAGAGTGGCAGTAGACGAGGAGAGGCAGTCAGTTACGCAAACTTGGGATCATGTCTCCAGTCCATTGGTGAATATGACATGGCCGAAAAATACTTCAGGAAGGCCCTCCGACTCAGTAGAGATATTAGAGACAGTTTGAACGAGTTCAAATGCCTTTGTAAGCTAACGGTATTGAAAGTATCAGAAGTTGATATTAAAGCCGCGTTTTCGTACCTATTTGAAAGCATTGAAAAGTTCGATACTTTACGAGGTTCCCTTAAAGACAACGATCAGCTTAAAACGTCACTTTTAGAGGAGCATGGTACCTATCCCTACAAGATGCTCAGTCGGTTGCTTTCTACCAGTGCGAAGCCCCAAGACGCTCTTTATGTCGAGGAACTAAGACGGGCAAGAGGCTTGGCCGACTTGATGGCGACTCAATACTCTTTCAAAGAGCAGATAACAGGCAGTCGAGAAACGTGGTGTGGCATTCAGAATGTTATTCCAAGAGAGGGAGACTGTGCATGCTTGTATATTTCGATTGATAAAGCATCTGTTCGGTTTTGGGTTCTCAAAGCAACGAGAGCCATTCTTTTTTTAAAAAGAGAAGTGAATCTTCACCCAAGCGAGGTGACTGGACTAGTCCCTGCCTTAGATGAGTTTTTCTCAGGAAGCTTCCGTGGCATTTTACCCGAAGAGAAATGCGAAGATCGATCGTTTGACGATACCGAGTCAATGTCGCTTGTCCATGAAAATTGCGCCCTGATGCGTGACGACGATGCTGTTAAAGTTATTAAAGCGAATCTTCACTTATGCCACAAGATAATCATCGCTCCTGTGGCTGATTTACTGAAGGAGTCCGAGGTCATAATACAGGGGGATTGGTGATTCAACGAAG